CGTTGAGGTGAATTGAAATGCAAGGAAAAAACGCAATATCCAGGCATATTACTGCATAATACAAAAAAAAAAAGTGTTAAAACGTCTATAAAAACGAGCAAACACATGCATGAACAACTTGCTTGAAAATATGTCAAAAAATGGTCCTGAAAAAGAGTGAGCAGGGCTGGCACATGTTTCTAGTAATAGCATTGTGGTTGTTCAGACGCCACCAGACATACATGGAAGTATACCCTGTTCTGGTCATCATGCTACATCAGACAAGCATGACATACTAAGTAAGACCAGCTTCACATCACTGTATGGTAAATACTAGAAAATGGGTACTGCTGCTCATAAAGCTAACATATATGACATTCAGAAAAATAAGAGACAAATACATGAAAATGTAAATATCAATGAATGTAGAATAGTATAATATATAATAGTAATAGTATAGTATAATCAATGAATGCATTTGAAACACATTAAGGCATATTAAATACAAGAAAAGAGCAATGCCCATAATGTAGGAATGCATGCAAACCAAATCACAATGTGCCCTATACTAGGCTGGCTCCAGTAAACTTCATATGGCTGCTATGGAAAATAATACTTTGCATATATCATATGCTTCTTTACTACTAGCCTGTGCTGATCGAAACATGGAGGCTACCATTCCTGACCCCTTCTGAAAAGGCTTACTTACTGGTTTTATTACTTTACAAGACACGGATCCAAGACATGTATAGTTCAAGTGAAGTTCTGATTTGCATACTTGCTTAAAAGGTAGCGACTTAGAAGGTACCGAAGCCACTGGATGGGAGTGAGAGAACGGACTAAAGCCACTAGAGCAGCATGCAAGCCAGACAACTAGCATTTTCAGAAGCAGGGGACAATGGCAGCCCTCATGTTTCCCTCAGTACATATTTCCTTACATATGTTCAATATCCCACTAAAAATGACATACAGTAACTTTTTTAGTATTGGATACACTGGGAAAAGAATCAAAATCTTGTTCAGGTTTTTACCATGGTCCCTGTTGGGGAGACTTTCTCTTAGTTTCAGCTCTGGAGACGACCCAAGGTAGATGAAATTCCCCAGCAAAGCACAGAAACACAGAGATTCTAATCCTACCCCATGCTATCCAAAGCCAAGAAGCAGCTTGGGCTGAAGTTTCAATGTGCAATCCACTCTGTTATGAATAATTGCATGTTAGAGAACCTGTTAGGACAGGTTTGGCTGATGAAGGGACCTCTTTAGTTCCGAAACATTGTAGGGAAATGTTGCACCATTTAGTCAATAAATAGATTGACTGGAAGCTATATTGGAGTGCGAGTGACTTCCCCATATGTTCATCCATATAGGTGTCCCTACCCTGAGTGTGTCATCCATGTATGTGCGCCACTACTTTGATAGTCACTGGCTTAACACAAGCATATGCTAGACCAGCATTTATGAACTTTTTGCAGTCACGGCACTCTTAAAAGTATGAAAAATCTCAAGGCACCCAGTCTAGAATTAATTTTAAGGGGGTGGGGGGGGACCACACACAAAAAGGAGACGGGATTCTCCCTTCACATCAAGGTCCACTTTAACATCAGGAGTCCCCCCCCCCCTCCTTTTATATCAGAAGCCCTTTCGCATCAAAGTCCTCAGTCAGTCACTCTTCATATCAGCCCTAAGGAAACCAATGGCACACTGGTTGAGAAAGCCTGTCCCAGGTCACTGACTCACCAAGTAGTGTAACAAGTTGATATCTTTGATGGGGTATGCAGCACCAGAGGCATAACTTACCTCTAATGAATTGTGTACCATGTCCTGCCTTCTGCTGCTTATTCTAGAAATACTCCCCACAGTGTTAAACTTCCGGCATTGTGGGGGATTAAAAAAAAAAAAATACAGTGGCTGCAAACCATCAGCACCGCTCGCCCTCCACTTCCACCTCTCTTGTCCATTCACAAAACTTGTATTGTTTCCCAGAATGCAAAGTATTCTGTGATTGGAGGATGTAGATCCAGTCGTTCATCCACCCCTCCTCCAATCACAGAATGATTTGCATTCTGGGAAAGAATACAATGAGTTCTGTGAATGGGCAAGAGAAGAGGAAGACAAGCAGTGGCAATGGGTTACAGTTGCAGCCGCTGACCTTTACCCTGACAGCAGTGAAAGACCAGCTCTGTAGGGAGTAGCCAGCATCACTGGAGTGAGGATTTCTACACTAAGCAGCAGCCACCTGGACATGGGACACACACTTCATTAGATGTAAGTTATGCTGCATACACTCACCCCTTCTCCCCCCAAAAGTGAACTAAACTTTAAGAACACCACAATAGCATACACTTTTAAAAGTCAGCAAACAAAGCTGCTATAGTCTACATTAGAAGGGGGTGACTCAGGCCCTTCAGTTGTTCTTTAACTACAAATCCCATCATGCTTCTTCCTCTGCGAGTCATGCCTGTAACGGTCAGTCTTGCAATGCCTCATGGGACTTGTGGTTCCACAACAGCTGGAGGCCCAGCACTGCCCTCACCTGGTCTAACCACGACCTGCAAACACACAAAGCATCTATTGAAGCTCAGACTGGACTCACCACTACATGTGCACCTGCCAGTTTTAGGGGTTTGGGACTGATGAGCGGAGACACCATGTACAGCAGCAGCACGAACGCCACCAGGAAGGCAGCAGCCAGCAGCAGCATGACGGATTGCGTGAGGATGTCCAGCCTGAAGAAAGGGATGGTACACAGAGGGGAAAATAGGGGCTCAGTCACTGGATGAGGGTATAGTACCCAAGGAAATCTTATGTCCTAGGAAGGAGTTTACTTGATAAGCGATAGAGTGCTAGATGTAAGGGAAGCCAAAAAGAGGTTACTGACTAGCAGGAAGCAGACAGAAAGAAAGACAAATAGGTTACTGAACACATATAAACAAAGATGATGAGGAAGCAAAGGAGAAGTGACAGTTCGGTTCAGCACATGCTGGAAGAACAGCAGTGCATAGAGGAGGAAGATGACAGCAGCAAGTCTAGTATTGAACAGCAGAGTCCTGGCAGCTCCCTTATAGAAGAACACGGAAGGCAGAGATGGCAGTTCGCTGGCAGAGACTGACTAGCCTATGTGACAGCATGCACCTCTCCCAAGCTGTATCTCTATGCAGGCTCCTCCCCCACCAACTGCTCTTCCTGTTTATATTTCACTTTCCTTACAGCCAAGAGGGCTCTCTGTGGGCTCTGGCGTGCAGCAGATGTTATGCTGCCACCTAGCGTCAGTTTTAAAAAATGCACTTATCAATGTATCAGTCTTTGGCGCTCCACAGGCTGTACTTGCTCAGCATACCTCCCAGCTTTCTGAAATGAGAAAGAGGGACACCTTCCAATGGTGGGAAATTTATAAAAGCAGGAGCAGTTGCCCATAGTAACCAATCAGCTTCTCAGTTTGTTCAGTTAAAGCAGAACTCCGGACAACAATGTTTTTAACCCTTGCAGTGGGGCTACCCACTCGTTTTTGTCTCGGTGCTAAAAAATCCAAAATCACTGAGCCAGCTTGCTCTTAGACCACAGGTGGGCAAACTCTGGCCCTCCAGTTGTGGCGAAACTACAAATCCCATGGTGCATCTGTCTCTGGGGGTCATGTCTGTGGCTGTGAGAATGTTGTAATGCCTCATGGCATTTGTAGTTCAACAACAGCTGGAGGGCTGGAGCTTGAACACCCGTCTTAGACCGCCCCTGGAGCTTCTCTCCCCCTCCGCTGCAGAGGTCTAAGGATCCTTGAGTATAAAGTGTGTAGGATGTGAGGGACATACACTAGCTGCAGCAGAGGAGGAGATAGGCTTCAGGGACCAGACTAGCAGCCAGCATTGTGGTTCAGGTGACTATAATTTAGCTCCTAGACAAAATTGGTGTAAAGGTCTGTTGTAGAGTCAGCTAGCACAGTGTTTTACAAGATCCGCATGTATCTTCCAGAGACAAATTATGCATACTTCCTGCACATTGAGCCAAGCTGGACCAATGTAAGTATACATACATATATTTATACCTGGAGTTCAGCTTTAAGAGTAAGAGACAAGGCAGGTTTTACCAAGATATAAAAATTAGAGTGGTAGCTTTGGTCCTCACAACATAGGATTGTAGACCCCACAGCACCCACAACCTATAAAATACATTAAAATATATATAACAGAATAAATAAAGACTATACAAACGGTATGAGTGGAAAATATTGGCCGCGGCCCTTTATTGGGGATAAAAGCAAAATATAAATTCTTTATTTAAATGCAACAACACTCATGTATAAACAAATGAAGTTTTAAAACCAGTTATAACTTTTAACATAAAGTAGCTCAGTCAGCCAGACTCGAGCCATACTCATCACCAGTGCAATATAACATTAAACACTGTCCACCCACATATGTGGGCGACAATACCCCCAAAAAAGGATAGCCACAACAAGGGTTATGGGAGGGAGGGAGGGGGGGGCAAGTTGGGTTGAAGAGGATCACG